AATGAGTCAAAGCAAGGCTTTGGACATGTTTTTTTATGAGAGTATAACATTATAACATGATATAAAACTCAAAAAAGTTGATTTTACATGATATTGCCCCTTCAAGACATTTTGAGGCTAATTAAGGCCTTAATTTGGGATTGATGAATTCAGTGTCTTAAGACTTTTTAAGGATCTGCAGGAATTCTGTCTTCAGTGTTGCAGCTGCATTTTATTTCAAACCTCCTATGAAGAGGCTTCAAGTAAAATGGTAACAGATAACTATGAACTTGGCCTAACTATGGTGTTTATTATTATTTTGTTGCTAATCTCTTTTTTTCTTTTCAACATCCTTCTAAGTGAAAACAAATGTAGCTTCACACAACTTCCCTGTTGTGAAATGAACAGACAAACTTAAATAAAATGGAAAAACGCCACAGAAAAAAAAAACTAAAATAATATAATTGTTCTGCGAATTCAGCAAACAATACAAAACAATCACGGCAATTTTTGTTTTTCCTGTGTTTGGTTAAACATTTGTGCGTGGGTTCGAGTGCACGCAGTGATTGTGATGCAGTTCTTGTACTCATCGGATCCCTGAGCTCTTTGTGTGACTCTGAATCAACTGCGATGGCTCTCCGGAGGCCCGTCAACGCGAGGAGGAAAACAGGAAACGGAACGCTGCGCTCAAGGACACAAAACAGGACCAGACGGCAAATTCTCACACCTTTCTATTTTAAAACAAAAACACAAATAAAAATAACTTGAAAAAAGGCCTGTGTGCACAAAGAATGCTGTTCTTTTTCCTTTTAGCTGTTACCTGTTGCAGTGGGGGCCACAGTGAGTGAACGTGCATGAAATATTTGTCAATTATTTTACGCCAAACAACTTAGGTTTTAAACCTGCGGCTTCAGGATTACAAAACCCTGAGCTGCTGTGCCCACCCCCCACCCCCCACCCCACACACACACAATCATAAACTCACATAACAGTTTCTTTTGTTAACAGTTTTCGCAGTTAAAACCTTCAAATAACCTCTGATGTAAAACACTGATTAATCCAAACAAACTGTATTTTGGCCAGAAACAATGAGCTTAGAGTCTGGCACATCGAATTCTTTCATGATTAACATCTTGCAAATCATGTAAAAAATCCAGCTGCCTCTGCAGCATGTACTCATTATCTGAGCCTCACACACGTGCAAGCGTTTTGTCAAATCTAAACACCTGATATAAGAGAGTAATAGAATTTATACCGGTATTCCGAAGCATTTATTTCTGGAAATAATGAGTCATCAGTGTGGCTTAGTAATTATGCTTGGCGACTGAAGCTGGTGTGGCTGAATCGTTCCCAGCGCGTTCCTTCACARGTTTCCACTCACCTGCAAACGAGTGTTGCGATGATGACGCACCAGGCCGTGCAGCAGCAGTCGGCGTTGGGCTGCTCCTCGCTCTTGCTGCGTCGGCAGCACAGGCAGATGGAATAGATGAGCAGGAACAGGAGGTCCAGAGCCAGACAGGCCAGCGCCACACCTCCCAGCAACAGGATGGACTGATGGACAGAGGAGAAAGATGACGGGAAGTTAAAAGCCATTATTGTTTCCATGTCTGTAACAGCAGCAATAATGGGGTTTTCTAAGAAACTGAACTCTGGCTAACACAGCTAATCAGCTTTAGAAAAGAAACGACTACAACTCAGTTATATGACTATAACCTGGTGTGGTAGCAGCTGAGAGTTGTTCCCAACATATACTTAAAGCGCTAACAAATCAATGAGCTTGTGCATAATGTAACTCACAATGTCGGACCTTTAAGACAACAACAACAACAACAATAATGAATTTTTTTTTATTATGTCAAAAAGAAAAAACAAGTAGGTCCTCTGGATGGGTTTCGTCTCTCCTCCAAGAGACTTCTTCAGTCTGATGAGTTTCAGGTGAACTCAGCCTTATAAGCACTGCCTCCACATGGACAAACAGGTTAGTCACATGCAAAAGAGGGCCATCGCCTAACAATAGGCTTGATTAGTTATATTATAATTATTATTATAATTATACTAAATAGAGCTATTGTTAGGCGATGGCCCTCTTTTGCATGTGACTAACCTGTTTGTGCAGGTGGAGGCAGTGCTTATAAGGCTGAAGCCGTGTTTCCATCCAATTTTAAATCAAATTTTGAGCAAATTTTTAAAAATTCGCAAAAATGTAAAAACGAACACAAAGAGGGAAAGAGAGAGTAAAACAAGGGGACGTTGAACCCTCGCTTGCACTCACTACATTCACATAACACGACACGGGCCAGGTGATGGGGCACATGACCCCCAATGAATAATAGAGCTAATCAAGCCTATTGTTAGGCGATGGCCCTCCTGCATGTGACTAACCTGTTTGTCCAGGCGGAGGCAGTGCTTCTAAGGCAGAGTTCACCTGAAACTCAGACTGAAGAAGTCTCTTGGACGAGAGACGAAACGTTTCACTAAAGAAGAACCCGTCCAGAAGACCTACCTATTTCTTCTTTTTGATTTTTTCTACCTGGATTACTGAGATGCATCAGGACATTTATTTATAATGGACTTTACATTTATAAAAATCTAGAAGTGCTACAATCAATAAAACAAAATAGTAACAAAACAAGGACCATAAAATAGATTTTACGTAGGGCTGGGCGATATAGCCCAAAAAAAATAACCCAAATTTTTTTCATTACAAATTCAATTTTAATCAATTATGCTTCCCACTTAATGGAGTGCCTCTGTTTCAGGTGTTGAAACAAATCTGTTGTACTCCTGCTTTTTGTAGCAAGAGCCTTCAAACAAATTTTGCTGAGGTGTTCGTTGCTCCAAGTCCGAGGTTGCAAAACCTAACCAGATCCAGATAACTGAAGAAACAGTGCCTTTTTGGGGAAGTAGATCCTCTTTCTGCCATATTGTCATGTCATGTACCAAGCATCTTAAGGGAGTGGGGTGACCTCTGAACTACAAAAGCCCCAAAGAGTGGACCGGTGGGAAAAAAAATCTTGATTTTCCCAAAATTAAATCTTTATAAATGGCAAATTCGAATTAATCGATTAAATCAATTTATCGACCAACCCTAATTTCATGTTAAAAGATAAGAGCAAAACACATTAATTAAAAGGAAATCATTAAAAATATTGAGTAAAATGTAAGATACTCTTGGTCTAACACTGACGTGAAAGGCAGTGGGCTACATGCATTCTTTCAAGGAATGCTAAGCCTTTAAAAATCTTTTTAACAACTCAAAAACGTTTTATTTTTGACATTTAATGAAGAATTGTACTGATTATTACTTATCTCATAAAACAGAAAGGAAGTGTTGCGGAGCTCCACCAGAAAATGATGAAAAAAGAAAAAGAAGAGTAAAAAAACTCCAAGTAGCTCTTAAAAAATACATTAAAATCTATGTTCAGCAACCATGCTCATCATTAGACTACACTGACAGTATTTCAAAGCTCACAGCTGAGCGATGTACAGTGATGGTTAAACCTCTGAGCCAGCAGCAGCACTTCATACAGTATGTAGGTCAGATGGAGAGGGTCTCTGTTTGCTGCATACTCCCGAGGATACATGGCTGAGGCAGATGTCCAACTCCTTTTGTTTTGCAAAAAAAACCAGGGTTGTTCTATTTATTCAGGTTTTACCCCAACAATGCACCGCAGTGAATAACCCTTTCTGATTCACCTCCGTATGTGAGCTTAACGCACACTGAACAAACAAGCAGGCCTAATAAACATGGCCTTCACATCAACTGTAGCACACACTAGCAACAGACTGGCTGATCAAGCACAGTTGGATGACTTGGCTCTTGCACATTGCTCTACATAAAGCAGCCAGGAGCAAAGACGGCCGCACTAACGGTCTGTAATTTGGGCGCATCGCTGACATACGGAAACACGCCAGTCACTCAAGGTTGCATCACTAAGATGCATAATAAGCACCACTGACAGCTCGGCCATCTGGGCAAGTTCAGACCTCTGCTTAAGCCCGCAGGAAGAGCTGCGTTAATAATTAGCAGCATGTCATCATTAAATGTTAAGTGTTTTAAGGGTTTTAAAAAACAGCTCAGCAATTAGTTCTTTTGTGTGACATTTTACTCTACTCTGACAGGAGAGAATATGTTCAGCTAAAGATCTTTGTGATTTGAATAAGCTGTGTATCAGTCATGTTTTTGCTTGTGGACACAGCTATTTGTCTATAATTCACATTGAATTGATTTAAATCAATCTCACTAAGACACTCACTGGTCTTTTTGTAGCCAGTTCTTTGCCCATCAAAAAGCTTTTTGTATAGTGTTAATTTTATACATCATTCTTAGTGAAAAATCTTTAAGATGGAGAGCTGAGACAGCAAATATTTGACATGGACTCATATAAATCCAAGTAAAACAAAGATATGAAGAGTTCCGCACCTTACACGACTTTTATCTTCCAAGCTGCATACCTGTACAAGACCTAGCACATCTCCATAAACTGCCGTCAGTCTGGGACACGTCTTCCTGTTTCTCAGGAACCACGTCTTACTTCTCCATTATCTGACTCACTTCCAGATCATATGGAAACTTTGAATCTTGTTTTTGCAACTTTGCAGTTTTTCCACCCCTACATAAACACTTTATTAATCTTACTGCTCCCCTGCTGCACAGAACATTTGGTGTGAAAATATCAGAATCCAGTAAGGATGCCCATAACAAAACAAACAAAACTTCCTGCCTAGCAGACAGCTGGTGAAATAATCAGCTGAACCAGCTGTTTCTACGGAATTTGTGTTGTAATCCCTGACTTCCCACAATGCAGCTTTGAGTGACTGCTAAACATAAAGCTAAATGAAGACAATATAAACTGCTCTAATCTCTGACACTAATAATAAATTACTCTCCTTACAATCAATCCCACCAAAATATTTGGAATATGGACATGAAAATGTGACCAAAAGGTCTTTCAAACAAGCTAAAAGAAAGACAAATTATCACTTTTCCATAAAACTGTCAAATCCTTGAACAAATGTATTACTGCTCTCCCACCACTGTTAGCTACTTAACAGGCTCCTTTTTGACCCTGGCACGAATCAAAATGCCAACTTAAGTATCTGTTTGCATACATTTGTCTTTGAAAAGGTACTCTGGTGTATTGGTGCTGCTTGAGAGGAGTAAAAGATACTTAGACTTAAGGGAAATGAACATTTAAAGTTTGCTTGTGTCAGCTTTGGGTGGCTTTGACTACAGGCCAGCTGGCTCATGTCTGGGGAAAAGGGTCAAGGCTCGGATACAACAGCTTCACACAGATGGTGACACGGATAGTTAAGGTGAAATAAAGACACAGGTGTTTACAGATCACCTGTAACTGATAAAATACGTCAGTGTTGCAAACTTGGACAAATATTTGCCCAACGTTAAGCGTGCAGCAAATATAATCATTGGACGTGTTCTTAGTTTTACCTGTTGGTATGTCCAGTCCTCGGGTTGGAAATCACTACTTGTTTGCTCAAACTTGATGTTGAAATGGGGCAGTCGGTGCAGAAGGTTCACCCACCATGGTGGGGAGTATTCAACCACTGCTGCCATGGCGAGTAAAAGTAAAAAATAAATAAATAAGACCCGATCAAGTAAGGATGCTTTCAGCTGTAAAAAGGCAGAGAATCCACTTCATCCAGTCTGAGTGTCCAGGAAAAAAAAAAAAGAGGCAAAAACGCTGTTGATCTCGTCAAAAATGTTAACTAGTAGCTGACACACAAGCACCTACTGCTAGTTGCAGTTTCACAATAAAAAAAGGATAAGTGAGATTTAAAACCAGCTTAAATCACATCACCCTAGAGCACCAAAACAACAGTTAACTTGGTAGCTCGCCTTCAAATCTAACCTTAAAAAGGAGCGAGCTAGTTACCCTTAACCCTACTAGCTTAACTGTTGCTAATAACTCGTGTTAACACGGAACTTCCTGTTAGCTGTAAACACCAGAGCTCGGAGAACCGTAAATTAAATGTACTTTCCTAAACAGAATCTCCTCTAACTAGTCGCAAATGTAGAGTTAGCTAACGTTTAGCCGCTAGTTAGTTTCCTCCACTGAGATTCAGAGCCGGAGGGAGAAGTCTCTTTTGTTCCACTTGACATATCTGGTATGGCGCTTGGTTACATCCCAGTCGGTGTCTCACTTCGTCTCTTCCAGACCCCACTGCAATCTCTCACGCTTCCTTCTCCGGCTGACTTCCCCCATTCAGATACCGACGGTCGGGGGAGTTTGAAGACTGGAGCCAACAACGCGAAGCAAGAATATTACCCAGCCTGACTCGAACGCAACTCAGAATCAACGGTACAAAAGTGAGCCTGCAGCGCCACCCAGAGGCGCCTCCGAGTCAAGCAAGGGAGATTACATGAGCATCGGAAACATGAAAACTTCCCGTCCAACGCGCGTTTCAGAATTTATGTAAAATCTACAGTTTCGTCACGGAATGAGAATCAAAAGCACAGACAGTAAACAAAAGGTCAAATAACTAAAACAAAACAAAGTGCAATTATTTAACTGTCCTAATTAAGAGAGAGTTCACATTTGAACTTAGGGTCAGTATAAATAATGAAATTTACGAGCCACCTGAAGGCAGCATAATTTACGCAGACGAAAATGAGAAAAATGAGGAACAGGACGCAAACAAGAAAACCTCACAGTAGTGAAACTATGAACTCATGATTTACAAATATAAATCATTTGCCACATCGGTTCGTTAAAACACAGACTACAGATTGATGCTGACTTTGAGACGATAACAGCTGCAACATAAACACAAAAGCTTATTTGCTCTTTAAACCTTTATTGCAGCAGGTACGCGGTGATGCACGTAGGTGGCAACTTGTTCCACTTCACCGGGTTTGGACTTCAACCAGAGAGCTCACTATAACTTTAAGAAGCAAATTACTTACATTTTTTTCCCTTCTTCTTCTTCAGGAAATCACATGGAGGTGCTTTTGTGCTCACATGACAGTCCGAGACATGGCAGGAGAGATCAATGAAGGTAATGCGCTAACTTTCTACATCCTTTGAAAAGAGGCGATATATTATTTTTAGGGGGAATATTCTTAACGAGGGAAAAACATTTAGAAAAAAGTTGATCAACGCGTGAATCTATTTAATCTTATAGCCACGATGTGAATTTATTTGGATGAAGACGCCTCGTTAAAGTCCTCATTAGCGCTTTATTATTAATCTTAGCTCAGCTGATTTAATCAGCTGCCGCAGCAACGATTATTGCTGATCATGGCAACCTGTTGCTGAATGTCTTGTTGCCGTTTTCCCCTCCATTTGAAAACTTGTGTGATTATAAAAAAAACCCTTAAGCTTCTACTCATAAAACATGACATTTATCATCTTTTTCTTGTTTTTTTTTCTTGTCAATCTTAAAAATACACGTGTTGGGAAAAAACAGTTACACTTCTACAAAAATAGATTTAGAGAAAATGACAAAGTCAAATGATAATTTAAAACTGATTAGYTTAACTCTTGATAACTCCACTTGTATGATAGCTTTCATATCAAATGTTTTCTTTTTTTAACATTTAGGTATTTGTGATGCCATGTGCTCTTTTAGGTTCTGTTCCTGCTTATTACAGAGAAGTGTACGAGGCCATTCGTTGCAGGACAGAAGAAAAAGTGCAACTTGAAGTTTTTCAGAGACTTCTTCAAAGGACCGARCTCTCCAAGGCGGCTCTCAACCAGGTGGGGTGAAAAGTTTCTGTAAAATCCTCACGATGCCGAAGCAAAGAACATCTCCAAAACTGCAGTACGACTGTGGTTTGGTTTGCMCTGCCAAGAAAACGACTAAAAACGACCGAAGCTGAACTCGCAGATCAAGAACGTCACTTTCTGATTGCAGCATTTTGTCTCATTTTGAATCAAAACAGACTTCATGGAGGGAGACGCACACAAGAGACCAGACTGGAATTTGCCTCACAGTTTTTGAGAAAAGTTTATGGGACTGATGAGCCAAAAATAAATAAATAAAAATCACATCAACTGTGAGGCATTTTGAGTGTAAAARGGCACCAACAAATGAATCTGTTTGTACATCCCTCTTTCTGTGAAATACGTGTCATTCAGACGGAAAAACGAGGAAACAAAAATCTTTTGTGTATCTGTGAAACAATCACGAAGGTGTAAAGTGCGTATAATTTCAGACACAAGTCATGGTTTAGTAGAATTTCCCTTTTCTTGACCTTGTTGCATATCACCCCCTTCGTGTCCAATGAGTGCTTTTTGTGCACAGAGGAATGCAAACCACAGCTAAAGTTGGATCTCTGACTGAGAACGGTCAACCTTCAGGCCATGTTGTCTTTGTCTTTTTCAGATTGCCGAGAATGTTGACTCCCCGGATAGATTCCTGAGCAAGCTGTCCTTCTACAAAGGGCTGGCTTTGATCGCTCTCGCTCAGCAGGGGAAGCAGCCGACACCCAAACTCCTGGAAAACTGCATACAGGGTAGGTGAGACCGCCTCACCGACAACCGTGGCAGCAAGAAGTTTGGCTTAATGAGTAGCTCGAAGATTCTTTGCTGTGTCCAAAGGCAACCTCAGCCATCCCTCATCTGTCGCTGGGGGGCAAATGTCACCCTTTTACTGCCTCACATGGTCCGTTTACCACTGGAATAAACCCAATAACTGTTTTTTAGCATCCGACATACATTTGCAAATATTTAACTAAAAGTCCCTTCTGTTTTATTTTCACATGCTGAGACATGGAGATGCCTCTTCGGAGTCAAATCAATTTAAGATGGCTGCCAGAGAAAAGTGACCTTAGCAAACATAAAACTGGCTACTACAGTTCAGTCAGATGGGCAAAAATTAGCTAAAACTGGATGTAGTAGTTGAAAGTCACTCTCAAATACATCTGTATAAATATATACTGAGCACTAACTAATTGTACAGGATCTACTTGATTTTAATGAGTGCTAACTGTTGCAGCTTATCGACAAGTCGGTCAAAAGTGGCTATGACTTAAGTTTTCCAATAATGAGCTAAAACTTTGTGTGGCAGRAGGCGAGAGTCTTCTTTAAAGAGGACAAATCATGTTTTTAAATCCTTTTTACACATTTAAATCGTTTAGTTGGGGTCTATATAAAGTAGAACTTCAATGCTTTGGTCTGAATTTTTCCTTATTGTAACTCCACAAGCCCCTCTTTCCCCTCTTCTCTGAGGTGTGTCTCAGATTAACTCGTTTTGAGGCTGTCTCTTTAAATCCAGATGAGGGGTTTTGCCCCCCGCCCCCTCCAGCTTCCGGACCGGTCCATTTCAGTTTGAGAGATGGGACTATAACAGAAAATGTTTTATTTACAAAAAAATCAACTACTTAACATTAAAGATTCAACCACTAAAAATGTGGATTTTGCATGATATGTCCTCTTTAAACACAAACATCAAGCGCTAACACATTTTTTTCGACATGCCTCAATGTCACATGTGATCATGCAAAACGTTTTATTACAAGGTTTGCAGGTTGTAACTGATTTATTTCTCATCATAAAAGTATTTTAGCCTAAAACTTTGCCGTTGAAATGCAGCGAATGATGAACGTTCCTTAAGCCAGTGGTTCCCAACCCTGGTCCTCAAGTAGCCCTATCCAGCATGTTTTACTTGTTTCCCAGCAGGTCTTCAGAAGATTGTTAATCACTCATTCATACAAACCAGGTGTGTCAAATCAGGGAAACGTAAACAAGCAGGAAAGGGGTCCTTGAGGACCAGGGTTGAGAATCACTGATTTAATACATGTTATCTGATTTATTATTTACATTAAATGGCAAAGAATCAATGGCTTCCAGAGGCAATACTAAAAAAACATAAAACTGAGTCTGTATTATATTTAAAAATGTCTCATCAAGATCAGAGAAGCTCTTGAGGTGTTGGTCAACATTTAAAGCAGTGATTTTTAGATGTTTTCCTGATTTGACACACCTGGTTTGTATGAATGAGTGATTAACAATCTTCTGAAGACCTGCTGAATAATAGAGAAACAAGTAAAACATGCTGGATAGGGGTCCTTAAGGACCAGGGTTGTGAACCACTGCCTTAAGCTAAGCCTTTAATTATACTCTGTTTTTTTTTCCATGGTGGGAGGACGATGGGGGACATTTTATGGTTTTACTTGAGGTCACCATTCTGCAGATTTAACTCAACTGTCCACAACGCTCTGTTTTAAAGCACTCTTGTTTTTTCAGGTGCAGCCACTATGGCAGATTGCTTTGTGCTACTTCCTTGTCTTTTTTTTTTAGAACCGTTTTCTACAAGAGTGACAGTAAACTGCATTCAAAGTATCTTGGAATGTCCCAGCAGGAATAATAACAGATAGAAGAATGTGCATAATACTGTTCCAATTAGAGACAGAGTGAAACCGGAAAGGGGCTTTAAAAACAAGCATTCCTCAAAGTTTTGAAATTCACGTCACTCCTGGCTGCATTGATTCCAGCACGGAGAACAAATGTTAGCTCTGCTCGTGTGTGCTCGACAGAGTTCCCCAAACCTCAGCTGGGGGAGCCGAGGGAGCTGAGCGCTCTGAGGATGCAGCCGGCTCAGGACGACGCGCTGACCATTTCACAGACGCTGGACCAACTCCTGTCCAGAGACACGGTCCAGGTGGAGCTCATTCCCGAGAAGAAGGGCCTTTTCCTCAAACATGTGGAGTACCAGGTCACCAGCCAGGCAAGGATCTTTAAAATACCAGCATTTTTTTTACAAGRGCTCGTACAAAGTACCTGGAGCCAATACTTCATTCTTAATAAAGCTGGCAGTTGGACAGCCCTAGTGAAAATGTACTGTGCATATATTGCGACTAGGCGTGCAACAATAAAGAAAATTCACAATTCGGTTCGTTTCGATACTTTAGTGTCATGGTTTGATCTTTTTTCAATACAAAAAAGAGAAATTTTCATGCCCTGCTTAACTTATAATTTATTGAAATTTAAATATGAACATTTGTTTAACCTCAAAAGTACAGTTTTTAAATTAAATCTTGCTGAAACAGCAAGTTTCTCAACGGATCTGCGCTCCACAATGCAGCCTAGGTGGAGTAGTCGAACACAGATTCACCGATCCTTCAACACAGCATTTTCAGAAGACAAGTTGATAAAAGAACCTTTTAAAAATCTGTATTGCTCCATACATAGTGCGTATTGAACATGTGTTGTTGCTGCCCTAATTGTGACGTATGCTCCTGCAAATTTACAATTTTTCTTTTTCTTCATTTAGCGTTACAAAATATCCGTTTACAGACGCTACAGCGACTTTGACGTCTTTCATGAAGTTTTGCTGCAGAGATTTGCCTACAGAGTGGTTCCAGCTCTGCCACCTAAAAGAATGTTGAAAGGAGGTATGGCTTTTATTGTGTGTGCGTGAATGTGTTCTGTTAGCAAAATATCTCATGACCCACCGGACAGAWTTTTTAAGAAAACTTTCCTCTCTCAACAAAAGATGATCTCAGTCTAAATCTGTAAAAATGTCAGGCCTCAAACTTTGTTCATATTTTATTTAATTACATTCATAATTGATCTCGGAACTCATCATTGTGTCGAGATGTTTGGGTTTAAAAACTCCAGATTAAAAAAGGCTGCGAAACATTTTAGCTTGCGGCTACTTCTGAAGAGTAACTTTTTTTTGTTTATGTATAAAAAAAATAAACATTTCTTAGTCACAATATAGATTTTGAGCCATTACAGATCCTCAGAGCAGTTGCCTGACAGAAAGCAGTGATGCATAAAATGAGSCCGTTTCACTTCAAAAATTTAATTATAGCTTTAGGTGATAATTATGTGAGTTTATTCACATGGTTGAAACCTCACAGAAACACTCTCTGGTTTTAGTTGTGCCACAGGTAGTTTTTTTCTTCTTCTCTCAGATCTCACCYAAATAAAATGAGCTTAGATGTGCAAAATTAGTGGAATTATTTTGTGTTTTTATTTGTAATTGATTAAATATTTTAAGCTTTCACATGGAATTAACATTCTTTGACAGGTAATAGTTTTCCTCATGTCCTTGTATTATAAGCCTACTAATTTAATTTCTGATGGCAGACTGAACATATATAATATTTATAGTATTCAGAGGTTTATAGCAGCTAAGTACATTTACTTTGTTAAAGTACTGAAGTCATTTTTTGAGGATTTGTTATTTTACCAAGTACTTTTAAGATCATTACTTTTACTTTTATTTTCTTACATTTTGAAACTAAAAGCAATACTTTTACTTTAAAATTTAACACCTAGTTACAAAATGAAATGTGTCTGAACTCAACATGAAAGAGTTGTTCATGCACTCTAAAAAYGGAAGTGTTGAATTTATTGAACCAGGTTATGTCACTTGGTTACACTAAACTGAGTTGTTTTTTTTAAAGAAAATGCGTAAATTGCTCAATTTACTNATATATAGGTTTAGTGGAATACTTTTACTTTAGAAGTACTTTTAATTTCCCAGTTTTTGTGAATAGTTTTATGACTTTTACTGAAGTACTTTTCTCATCAGTGAAATTTATTTTTTACCAAAGTCATTTTCTGTTCGGGTATTTTTACTTTTGCTTATTTTTTTCCAAGTAGTTTTATAGACCTCTGATAGTATTTATCAAAAGTACACCTTGGTTTAGTTTTAGTTCCAGTAAAAATCTTCCTTGAGGTTTTTCTTTGTGTTCAGTACAGTACATACTTGGGATGCCAGATAAGATATAAATATTTGAAATTAGGTTTTGTTTCACATACAAGTGTTCGTATTTGTGTTGTAACTATTCAAATCCATAACCTGGGTCTGCACTTCTGCTCGGAGTTCTTTTGTGTATTTTTGCAGAGTTCTTTCCTTCTAAATAATTTCTCCAGCAGTAGTTTTTTTTCCGTGTATTTCTCTGCAGTCTTGACCTCAGTCTCTGAGCGCGAGTTCATCGAGGGGAGGAGACGAGCTCTCGGCAGATTTATTAACTTGGTGGCTTGCCATCCCTTCTTCTCTGAGGATGAGCTGGTGAAGACCTTCCTCACCTTCAATGGCTCCGTATGTTGATTTTTTAATGCGCTCCCTGTTTTCTGTTTTTTTCTTGCTGCACAATAAGTCCTATCTTGATGATTCATGTCAGGGAAACACATCCTGTTTCAGTTACACTCTGTGTCCTTTTCCACTCATCCTCTCCTCATCCTGCTTCCGACACAGGATGTTCAGACCAAGCTGCGTGACACTTGTAAGAAAACGGGTGATGAGTTCATGACCCACAGGATTGCAACCCAGGCAAAGGTTTGTTATGTAATTGTATGAATACTGAGTCAGCATTTACACTAATATCTATCTTTTCTTCTTTTTTTTTTTACAATCAAACTGGTTCTAAGTTAACCAATTATTATATATCAAAATTTTCAGCTAAATTAAGAATAATGTTAGGTTGTTGCTCTCTATTTTTACTTTTTAAGTTATTTTAGTTTAAAATACAACGTGCTGGACTTGTTTTGCAGGAATATCTCCCAGCTGACATTCAGGCTCAGTTTTCAACAAGCAGAGATGTGATTAGAAATATCCACAACAGCTTCCAAAAGCTGCGAGACAGAGCAGAGAAGATGGCTGATCGCTCAAAGGAGAACGCGACGGATCTTCTCATGTTTGGCCGGGAGCTCAGGTGTTTTATTATTAAGGTTCTAAAGTTAGATCTGCAATATCCAGAGGCTTTTCAAAAGACCAGATTCAAACACTTGGTAGCTAAGACACTCCAATATTAGATTCTSTCTTTATTAATGTTGTCCCTGACAGCACTCTGGGCTCAGACGCTTCGCCTCTTCCCTCCCTGGCCTCCTCGCAGAGCACCTGGGGGACCCTGCGTCAGTCTCTGAAGAGTCTGTCCGTCGAGTTTTCTGTTTTATCTGACAAAGCTGCTCAGCAGGTARACAATTCAGCATTTCCCCGCTGTGTTTCGCTCCAAACAGGCACTGCGAGATGACAYTTGTTCTGTTTGTGTCTTCAGGGCAGGCGGGAGGAGGATGATGTTGTGGAGAAGCTGAATTTCTTCCTAGATTTGCTTCAGTCGTACAGGGTGAGCGAGTTTCACTTCAGGTCTTTTTGTGTTGTCTTTCAAGTCCAGGTCGAAGAGATAACAACCAGATTGAGTTGGATTATCTTTATAGTGAGACAAAAGTCGAGATTTTGATGTTTTAACAGCGGCACGTCATGCCAGGTGTCAAGCATGGTGGTGGAGGGTTGATGATTTGGTGAGCAACTGCAGGACCTGAGCATTTCAAGCTGCGATGAACTTTTCTGTAAAGCAAATGAGTCTGACAGTCATTTCATCTGTCCGACAGCTGCAGCTTGGCTCAAAACCAGTCCTGCAAGCACGGCAGTAAATTAACAACAAAATGGCTACAAAAGAGAAGATTTTCAAAGTCCAAAAAAAAAAAAAAAAAAAAGAGCCAAAACAGTCATAGTTTTTCAATAACTTCACGAAAAATGTTAATGTCAGTGTCAATTTTATGTATATATAGCACATAAAAACAACATGAGTTGACCAAAGTGCTTCACAATTCAGCCAAGTAAATGTATGAAACCACAAAGCTACACAAAAATGTAAAAAATAAAATAAAAAAAGTAATTTAGAAAAAAAAAACCAACATTAAAACATTGGCTCTAAAAGAATCTCAAACTCTTCCAGAATGAAAGACCAAAGAGTAAAGATGAGTTGTAAATTTAGATTTAAAATTCTCAGCAGTCCAAATGCAAAAAGGTAAGCCATTCCAACGGTTTGGGGCAGAAACTGCAAAAGCCTCTAAATTTTAGCCCAGATCTYGGAACATCTTAGAGAAGCTGGTTGGATGACCGAAGTGCTCTAACTGAAGTATGGATGTTAATGAGATCACACAGGTAAGATGGGGCCAGACCTGTTGAAACTTTAAAAGTATCCCTAAACGAACAGGAAGCAATGGAGTGAAGCAAGAACCAGGGATATGTTTGTGTTACAAATGTGTTATAAATGTTAAAATTTTATTTTTTTAAATACATGAAAATGGTGAGAATAAAGCATACAAAACAAGAAGTGTGTTGGTGTAACTGTTTATTATTGGTTTATAAAGGTTTRAGCCCAATTAATGAATGCCTAATTTATAAAGGTACTGTTGCACAGTGAAGCCAGTTATGTCATATTMTTTCCCCCAATTCTTCTCCCGTCACTCCTGGTTTTTATGTAACACTACTATAAAGTGCCATTTTTCTGACATCTCCCATCAGATAACAAGAAGTGCTGTTGTGTGTTTTTCTAGGATCTCTGTGAGCGTCACGAGAAGGGCGTTCTMCATGAGCACCAGAAAGCTCTGCACAAGTACAGTGTGATGAAGAGGCAGATGATGAGCGCCACTGTGCAGTCCAAAGAGCCGGCATCTGTGGAGCAGCTGGAATCACGAATCGTTCAGGTCATTGTTCTCTTTCACTCTGGCTCGGGTCCCCTCTCGCATGCAACACGTGGTTTAAAAGCTGGTTTAACTCAGCTATCCAATGCTACACAGCTGACTAAAGGGCTCGCTTCAGCTGAGGATATCTGCACTGCAGTTAAAGTTCACATTCAAGCCTTAATTAMTGTGGAACTGCTTAATGATGTTGTTAAGTAAAGGAAGAATAAATTAAATTAAAAATGAGGAGTTTAAAGAGCAGAGCTCAGCAGACCCTTTTTTTAATGCACAAAACACACTGGAAACGAAGAAAATCCCAAAAAGCATAACCTTCTCTTTCATCCCTTTGAAATATTCTGTGTAATGTTGTAAAAAAAAAACAGGCACATTTTGAAAAAAATCAAAGCACCACCTCAGTCACCGCAAAGCTGAGTCAAGTTAAGACAGTAATTAACTTGCTGRATACTCTTTCATCTTGCAGAGACAGTTCCCTTTAGTCAGTGGAGTRGGTTTGTTTTGGTCACATTTGCAGCGTAAATCCTCCTAAAACAATATAACGTTTTTGTTTAGGATTAATTTACTTTCAGCTTAGACTCTGACCATTTGTAGTCCACTCTTTCCCACTAGTCTTCAGTTATGTGCTAGRTTTTCTCATGAAGTCTTAAAATTTACTAAAAAGTATTCTGGATTGGCATGGATGCAACAACAATACATTTTTTTAAAGGGGCAACATCATGTAAAATCAACTTTTTTGAGCTTTATATCATGTTATACCATTATCCCCTCATCCAAGACATACCCAGAGTGCTGCTTTGACTCGTTCATGCATATTTATGAAATCCTGTAGTGTCCTGTGGCAGCTATTCAGGAGAACAAAAATGTCTGGTTGGCCTTAGAACCTCCTTTTTAGGAGCAGCTCCTCCTCTGGGCTGTGTCTCCAAGCCGAGCTTCCTCATCACAGAGCACACCTCCCCTGCGACTCCTGCAGGCCATCGGCAGCAACAACTAGCAAAAAATTGGTGAAARRGCACGTCTGCTGAGCTCGTAATATTTCTCAGTCCYGTCCTTTTCGGATTATAAAATGCCTTTGAGGAAATAGATTTTCAGATGCCAAGGAGACTACCCTCTTTATAAGCTTGTCATGGATGACACGGTTCCTAAAAAAACGGTCGGACTTCAATTTTGGAAGTAACCCTCCGATGAAAAAAAGTTATATTTGTGCGAGCCACTTTACGGATGATAGCTTTCTGAACAAAAGGGAATTTAACAGTGGACTAATAAGATTATCACTAAAAGACGATGCAGTTCCAACACTCAGAATTTCACACAAACACTGTTGMCACCTGCCCAGATAAGCTGAAAAACAACTCAAGCTGTTTCCTTTGGTTGTTTGGTCTATCTCTGATCTACGGTCACCATTCATAAATTATACTATGATCTGTGTTCTATAACTGGCTTACACTACATTTTAGTAATAAATAAAAGAGCTTAACCTTAACGTGCGTGAGGATGACTGGGCAATACAGTATCTAACCAAGCTGAAACATCATCTCTGTGCTCGCTCCTGGTCTTCAATAAACCAACTTTCTGGTCTGACATGAGATCATTCAAGTAAGCTTCAGTAGTTCCCGAGTTGCACTTTTCCAAAACCAAAACTGTACAGTATGATGTTGGTGCTTTTTATATTATCATTGCAACAAAACCAATTGCTGCTAAGACAGATTGTAAATGGCATGAAGCTGTTGTGATGACGTGCAGAAATGGGCGTGACTGCAGCGGTAGGAGGTTCTTAAAGAGACGGAGGCCAAAATCAAAGCATTTAGAAACGGCTGAGATGTASAGTCAAAAAGCATTTTAATAACTGAAGCTGACAGTTACTCTATTTTGGTACAGAATTAAACTATGTGCCAGAGAGCACATAATACTGGCCCTTTTTAAAAATGAAATTCCTCTTGTGATAGCCTAATCTGTCCATAATCCCATTACTTACAAAAGCATAGACAGATTTTCTTCGTAATGTGCTTCTTTTTATTTAATTAATGCAAATTTGCATTATTAATATTATGTATTTTTTTTAATAATTCTTCTAACAGCAAGAAAGTGCCATTCAGACCATGGAGCTGCGTAACTACTTCTCCTTGTTCTGCCTTCATCAAGAGACACAGCTCATCTTCACCTACCTTCCAATCACTTCCCACATCCTRGGGGCTTTTGTTAACTCCCAGGTCCAAGGACACAGAGAGGTATGGCTGTTTGGAAATCATTTACCTTCAGGCCTATCTTTAGAATGGTCCACTCAMTTTATAAATCAGCTTTTAAAATTCAACAAAATAACCAACATTGATGATTGATGTGACTGAGAAAAATACAAAAAATTCACCCGGGATTTGAGCCGGCCTAACATCAGTGTGAAAGAAACCGTGCACATCGTTCATTTTATTTTAAAATCAAAGCAAATGAGACAAGTGACATGAGCTTTTTATTTCCTTTTCAGATGGGAGAGGTGTGGAATGAGCTCCAGCCAAAACTCGGGTGTCTTTTTGGTGGTAAAAACGGGTTGAAGCCTCCCATTTAGAACCTAAACACACAGGAGGGGAAAAAAGAAACACTGCTCACACGCTGGAAAATAAAAAGCTCTGTGAGCTTAAGGCAGAAATGCATTAAGCACAACTGTTCACATCTATTATACAACATACATCTCAGCTAGTAGGAGAATTTGAATTTCATAATCTTTGCATCCATTATAAGTTGGATTACTTGCAAAGGACAATTTGCTTGTTTTACAATCCTACATGGCAGCAAAGAAAATGCTTAAAACTGTATTAAAAGAGAAGCAAAATGAATGACATTATATTTATACATGTTTATAAAGTATCCATGTAAAACCTGTAAGAAATCAAACACACTAAGCTCCTGGAGACACAGCAAGACGGATTTTTATTCTCCTGCAATTAGTTGAATTTAACAAATATAAGGCTTTTATATTAATTTGCAAGATTATGCAGTCCCAGAGTTCGTCATTTTTGACAATTTTTCACTTTTTATCTTTTTATAATATAAGGCTTTTATATTAATTTACAAGATTATGTAGTCCCAGAGTTCGTCATTTTTGACAATTTTTCACTTTTTATCTTTTTATACAATGAGGCTTGAAAGATTGGGGATTTTTTTTTTCCATAAACGTGATCTTTAAGTCAACAAATATTTATGCATCTTCTGAAGTCAATAAAGAGAATCTAACTGACAAAAACATGAGGGGATGCTGGATTTTATTTAAAGAACTCACCAACACCAGGGCTGTGGAAAAGGACAGTTTTCAGGATGGCTCATGTTTACAGGATCAAAATAGTACGCATCTGAGGATACATACTATTTCTGTAATTTTTGTTTCTAATGAAAAACATTTTGCTTAAAGAAAGGAAAATATTGAGCTCAAGTTTGTAAATGTATTCCCATTTCTGATACATGGAGGTGGCGGTATCATGGTCTGGATCCACTTATGGCACCAGTATAAAAAGGATTAAGGCACACAGATTATATATATTTATTAATAAACTATTACTGCAAATACAGTATGAAACATTTGGTTTTCCAAGTTTAAATGRGAGTAAAATTATAATAGTAAATTTTGTAAGCATTTTTAATTGCTGAACTACTGAATCAGTCATTTAAAAATAAAATAAAACAGATTGTTCTGTGTTTTTGCCATTTAGCAGCTTTGAGTCACCTGAACATTTGAAAAACTGATAAAAAAGGAGAAATTATGTTACAGTCACAATCTTACATTCAAAAACAAAAGCAAAAAAAAAAAAAAAACGTCCAGTTGAGTCCATACCTCTTGTTTCGTTCAACCAAAACCAACTGCAAACATTAACAGTGTTTACTTCCTGTGACTAAAGATTCAAAAGATCGATGTCTTTGGGTGCCAGACGTATAAACGGCACCAGGAACCGTTCAGCAAATCTCCTGCACCTCCACCAGTGTGTGGCCGAGGATCACGTCGTGACCCTGAAACTTAAAGTATCCCAGAAACTTCTTCTTCTGCAGCATCAGTGGGAACCACAGGATATCATCAGCCCACATCTGACTGAAGGGGATTTTATCGCTGTCAAACCACTGAGGTCTCATTTCTGAAAAAAACAAAACAAAAACAAATGTATTGGCTACAAAATTAACACCTGTCTGAGGATACATACTTCTCATGTCATGAATAAGCAAGCCCCTAAATAGTTCAGATTCCTGCATATATCAAGTTAACAGTATCTTAGTTTTCTTCATTCTCTCTTCAGTTCCTGCTCTGACTTCTGTTACCCTCCAGATCCCCACCCCCCCCCCCCCCCCCCCCCCGCAGCTCTTGTGTGCCTGCTGTGGAGGTTTGGCTTCTTCGTGCGTCTCTGTAAATGTTTGGTCTTCACCCCAGCTGACCTTGGCTTAATTATCAGTAAACACTCACTGAGAAGTCTTTGCGTGAGTTGCCAAAGGTCTCGTCTCTCTCCAGTTTACTGTCAGCCTCTTAAGCCTTTATTCTGAAAACGTACCTAAAACCCTCTTTATTGCAACACAAACATCTCTGCACTTAAAAAGGAACTGAATCGTTCTGTGCCGTTACGATTTAGTTGCTTTTGGGTTTTAAAGCTAAATGGAAAGGATGAAAACGCAGATTCTGCACAGCTTTGAACCAGTGAACTTCTTGCTTCAGTTCAAACCATAACCTCATCATATTACCTGCGACCTTTCTCTCTTCTTAAATTAAACCTGACAAAGAGCTGAATAAACTGGACTCTGAATCAAAACGATCTTTTCTCCTCTCAGCGAGTCTCACGTTTACACAACCATAACCTGTTAACTGTCAGAAAGGGACTGGTGTGAGATCAGGTAAAAGGAAGTTGATGCAAGAGGAACAAACAAGTAAAATAGGAACCTTTGTGGGATTAAAAACA